TCCCAGCTCCCTCACTCCCCCACCCCTGCACAGCAGGACATCTTTAAATCACTTAACAACCCTTACTTACCCAAGTCCTTCCTCAGTCAGCAGTTAACAAAATACCCCTTGACTTTAAGGAATTTAGAGGCTTAAGGTAAGCAGGGAGGAGACTGTAACCGGATTGGATAACTTTTTGAAAATCAATTGCTTATTATGTAGCAAACATTACGCAAAAGCGCTTTTCACCTACTGTTTTATGTCTCTCTCAATAAACACATGACCACCATTTTACAGAGAAAAAAAGAGAAAGTCCTTTTGAGATTTGCCCAAGGTAAGCGCCCACACCCTTCCAAGTGCTTCTCCCAGCTGAAGCAGTCCCTGGCACTTGTGAGCACACCTATGCCTTAGGTGTGCTAGGAATTAAAGGTGCAGGGTGGATGAGCACCGGTGTGGGAGTTTAGAACTAATAATGATCTTACTGTACACAGCCACGCCAACTGCTTTGCATCTTCTTGGAAATTAGAATATGATATACTAACCTCTACAATCCTGATAGATGTCCTAATTATATATACATATGTCATCATGTTATATGTCATAGTAAAATATCAGAGAAAACCTAAATGTCCAGGTGTGGTGGTGCATGTCTTTAACCCAATACTCATTTGTATGTGAGCATTGGCTGTTGATGTGGATGCTTAGATGCACAACTTAGTTATGGACGCCAGAGGACCTTGGGCGTGAATCCTGAGAGATTGATTGCCTTCCCACCTCCCAGCCCAGAGTCTTTCATTGGCTGAGAATTTACCAATCTAACATCTGGTTTCTTACATGGTTTCTGGGGATTGAACTTAGGTCTTCATGTTGACTAGGCAAGTTCTTTATGTACTAAGATATTTTCCAGGTCCCCAAAACATAGACAATTATTGACATAAGGATGGTGGAGTAAATTACAGTATATTCACACAAAGAAATTATGCAGCTGGAATAAAAAACTGAAGAAGATGTATGTGGATGGAACAGTGCACAAGATAAGCTGTTGCGCAGGACAGACAAATGTAGAGGAGCTGTTACCCTGTAAGGAATCAATAATTTATTGGTTTGTGGTCGGAGAGATAAACATGTTGTACATGTATTTGCTTGCATGTGAATGAAATGCCTTTGGAAGGAAAAACAAGAAACTGATCCTGTGAATTGTTCCTGAAGAATGGCTAAGAGATTCTGGAGGGTGATTGTCCACTGTGTTCTTTGTAGTCTTTTCAATTTTCAGCTATTGTATTTTATACTTATTAAGCCAGACAAAGATAAAATTAAGATGAAAGAAATAGAATAGGCTAGGCTTTAGCTCAGTGTGAGTGCTTGCACCTTTTTAAAAAAATATTTATTTATTTATTTATTTATTATGTATACAATATTCTGTCTGTCTGTATGTCTGCAGGCCAGAAGAGGGCACCAGACCTCATTACAGATGGTTGTAATTGAACCGGGAATTGAACTCAGGACCTTTGGAAGAGCAGGCAATGCTCTTAACCACTGAGCCATCTCTCCAGCCCCCGCACACCTTTTCCTCTAAGTACAAAGCATCTTTCTAGAAATGCAAACAAAGAGCAGGCACTTGGCTGTTACATTTTGGAAGGACATAGGTCCATGAAGTATTCCCATGGCCAGGTGCATTTGAGTATTTAGAAGGATAAAGTTGAAATTCTCTAATTCTCGTGTGTATGTGTCGGGGGGGTAGTGCATATCTTTTGTGATAGAAGTTCATAGCTTGAATCTAACCATGGAGAAACATCAGATAAGCTGAAGACCATTCTGTGTGTTTCAAAAGTGTCAAGGTCACAGAAGACCAGGAACAGGAACTCTTTGGCTGACAGAGATGGAAGGACAGGACAGTGAGCACACACAGTAAACAGTGCTTGATGCCAGATTGGATTGAAGCCAGGGAGGAAAATGTTCCTTTGGCTGTTAAGGATGGTGAATTAGATAGTTGACAAACTATCAGGAAAGTCTGTGGGTAAAGTAGAATTGCCATTTCCGTGTCTTCTTTGTGGTTTTTGATTATGGTCCTGTGCCTCTAAGAGAATGCCCTCAGTTTTAGGAACTAGTTCTTTAAGAGTTTGGAGGTAAGCTGGAGGATGGTGTGCACCTGTAGCTCTAGTCATTCATGAGACCAACAAGAGAAGACCATGTAAGCCCAGGAGTTTGAGACTAGCCTGGGTAACTTTGCAAGACCCCACAACAAGAGTGGGAAAAAAAAGGCAAAGTAGTGTTTGTAATTTACTCTGAAATGGTTGAGGTGAAAAGAGAAAAGAGCCAGGCGGTAATGGTGCATGCCTTTAATCCCAGCACTTGGGAGGCAGGCAGAACTCAGTGAGTTCAAGCTCAGCCTGGTCTACAAAGTGAGTTCCAGAATAACCAGGACAGTTACACAGAGAAATCCTGTCTCAACAAAAGAAAGAAAGAAGTGACTGCAGAGATGGTGCAGTGAAACAGCTCTTGTAAACGTGAAGACTGGAGTGTGGATCCGCAAAACCAACACAAAAGCCAGCATAGGTGGTGGCAGCCTGCAGTCTCAGCACGTGGAAGGTAGAAGCAGGATTCCCAGGGCAAGCTGACTAGTCAGCTATGTGTTCAGTAACTAAAGTAGGGAGTGATTAAGGAAGACAGTGTCAACATTGGACCTCTACATGCGTGTGCGTGCTAGTGCACCCACACACATGCAAGCATGTAGTGGTGCTTTGAAAGAGAATGTCCCACATAGGCTCCTGTATTTAAACATCTGACCCCCAGTTGGTACAACTATTTAGGGAGGTTTAGGGTGCTCTCTGGGGAGGTTTAGGACTTGTAGCCTTGAAGAAAATGTGTCACTGAAGAGTTTAAAGACTCGAGCTGCTTTGCCATTTCCAATTGCTCTCTCTACTTTGTGCTTATGGTTCAAGAAGTGAGCTCTTGGCACCCTGCTCTAGCCCAAATGCCTGTCTGCTGCCTCTTCCTTGCCATTATGGATTCTAATCTGAAACTGGAATTTCCGAAACTGAAAGCTCAAACAAACTCTTTCCTCTGTAGATTTCCTTGGTCATGGTGTCTATCACAGCAGCAGAAAAGTGACTGATACATTAGTAACTATATACTAATATATAATATGCATGTACCATACACCAGGAAAAGAAAGGAAACATGGTAAATAAGTTTATGTGAAGAATCTCTGTGAAGATTTTTGACACATTTATTACCTGTGTAACAACCTTCCCAGTCCAGATTTAAGAAACAGGATATTCCCATTTCTCTAGGAAGCTCCCCATGCCCCTTTAAATTTCACTGTTTGGCAATATTTCAGGTACCATTGAACATGGTAGGGGGCCAGGTAGGGCAGGGGTGAGGAAGGCGGCAACAGGCTATTCATGGGCGCTGAAGGTAGCTATGTGCAGTTTGCACGTGGCAGCTCCAGAGTTCAGGTTAGGTTCCGGCAGGGAAGTATGGCATCCTTCACCAGGCTTTGTTTTGGTTTAAAGATTGGAGTGTGTGTGGTCTAGGAACATGCCTCTCACTCAGCATATTCTATTAATAACAGAGAACACTGGTGGATGCTGGCCAGCAGTCTTTCCTGTCTGACTGCTGCCTTCCTGGCTATGAATGCTAAGTGAAGTGGTTAGAAGTGGTGATGTTCAACCCCAGAGAACTCCGACAACAAGGAGGACACTAAGAGAGATACACATGGATCTAATCTACATGGGAAGTAGACAAAGACAAGATCTTCTGAGGAAATTGGGAGCATGGGGACCATGGGAGAGGGTTGAAGGGGAGGGGAGCAGAGAAAAGTGCAGAGCCCAATAAAATCAATACCCCCCAAAAAAGAAGTGGTGATGTTGTAGGATGCCAGTGTTTTAGCATTCTCATCAAAAGGAAAGATTGCTACCTTTAAAAAGGCCTATTTTATTGGGTTATAAAGATGGATTAATGGTTAAGATCACTTGCTGCTCTTTCAGAAGACCTGGATTCAGTCCCCAGAACCTGCGTGGTCGCTCGTAACTATCTGTAACTCCAGTTTAGGGAATATAGTGGTCTCTCTTGGCTTCCTCAGGCACCAGGTACTCATGTAGTTTATATACATATAGGCAAAATGGTCATATTCATAAATAAGTAAGTTAACTTTGTCCTTCCTTCCTTCCTTCCTTCCTTCCTTCCTTCCTTCCTTCCTTCCTTCCTTCCTTCCTTCCTTCCTTCTTTCTTTCTTTCTTTCTTTCTTTTCCGAGACAGAGTTTCTCTTTGGAACCTGCCCTGGAACTTGCTCTGTAGACCAGTCTGGCATTGAACTCACGAGATCCACCTGCCTCTGCCTTCTGAGTGCTGGGATTAAAGGCCTGTGCCACCACTGTCCAGCATAAGTAAATCTTTTAAAAAATAAGTTTTTAAGGAGTCTTATCCTAGAAAGTAGAAGAGGTTTCAAATCGCAGGGATTTTTGCATGTTGATGTTGGGGAAAGCTCTGACTTGCCCACTGTTCGGTCCTGTACCGACTGGATGGGAGACAAGGTTTGCATTTGCATTCACCAAATTATGGCCTGGGCAGTCCAGTTTCTTTCATCAGCTGCTTCTCCCTTGTTTTGCCATTTTTATTATTTGGCTCTTCATTTTGAGTAGAAGTGGTAGTGGTATATGAGGTCATATCTGCCATGAAAAGTCTTGGGCTACACAGCAATCAGACTGGAGCATAAGCCCGTCATTTACTGGCAGCTAATATATGGAAAAACTTTTTTTCTCAAAAGAACTATTCAATATTTTTAATGAGAGTTGCATTCTATCTATAGTGCACGTGTATAAACACATACATACATCTAATGATTATCCAAACTATAGTAAGGCATGCAATACATTATATTATTGCCATAAATAATATATTATTTTTACCCTTTTGCCTAAGTGTGTTGCCTTTTAATGAAACTTTTTTTCCCCTCTGTCTGTTGAAACTAATTTATTAAAATGTAGTCATCCACTTAAACCTTTCATGTCTTTTCTCAGGCAAACTGCAGAGATCCTCCTGCCTCCATGAACATGTGTGTACAGGACGTACAAGACAGATGAGTGTCCTCTGTCCTGTGCTGCTGCTGTAGGTGGCTCAGACTTTGAGCTGTCCAACAAGGAGAAGAAGATGGATTCCAAAGATGAAAGCTCCCACGTGTGGCCGACATCAGCAGACCATGACCAGAACACTGCACAGGTGAAGGATGGCCTCTTCCAGCTCACTGTTGGCAGCAGTGTTTAGCGGCGGGTGTGTGTGTGTGTGTGTGTGTGTGTGTGTGTGTGTATGTGTGGATGAGCAACAGCTGAAGAAATGCCTGTGTCTCTATAGTAAGAGGGAGGGAGGGAGCCAAAGTGAGAATTTGCCCTGAGAAGATGAAAAGTGTCAGTACTTTGCTTCACTGACAGATGTTCTGTGAGGTAGATGGACTTACGCCACCATAGGCCTCACCTCTGCACCTTGCTGGTAGAAGCTCTTTAACTACCCTCCTTTATCTGCTATTGATCCTAAAACCTCAGCCCTTTGCTGACTCCTTTTGTATTAACCAGTGTAGGGTTCAATTCTCCACAAGTAAGGAAGCCTAAGGTATGTTTATAAAGTGAGTGCGCTCTTCTTCCTTTTTAAGACAGGGTCTTGTCTGCTGTCCTGGAACTCTCTAGATGGTCTAAATTGGCCTCAAACCAAAGAGATCTGCCTGCTTCTGCCTCCCAAGTGATGGTGGGAGGCATGCTTAGCCTATAAGCTCATTTTTAAACAGTAGGATACACATAAAGTTTTGATCCAAATTTTCATTAAGTTGTATAACCCTAGTATTATTATCAAAATCAGAAAGTTAACCTTGAAATATTTAAATGTACAAATATTTACTTAATTTAGGCAATATAATCAATGCTGTAATAAGTAATAATGATTATGTTATAAGATTTAAAGGTAAAAACCTAAAATTCAGAGAAAAATGATTCCAGAGATATATTCAGAAGAATAACTGAGAACACTGCTTTTCTCATGGAAGCTGGTGATGACTACTTTCATGAATTTATAGATTGTGTTTATCCGAAAGGAAGATACAAGGTGAGGCACTGGGCAGGTAGAGGCAGTTCTCTGGGAGTTTAAGGACAGTCTGGTTTCCTTAGTGAGTCCTGAGCCAGTCAGGGTTACATAGTAAGACCCTGTCTTTAAAAAAGAAAAGAAAAGAAAAGAAAAGTAAAAGAGTAAAACAAAAGGAAGTTTTTTTGTAAAGTTCTATGTTGACCAGGGTTCCTGCCTGTTAGGGAGCTGAGGTCAGTATACACCACTGCACGCCTTCTTTCCAGTTATTTCTGCTCAAGTTCTGCCAATTCTTATTTATAGACTTTCCATGAGGAAAACCAAGTAGAAAGGCTTCACTTTCTCCTTTTTTGAGGAAAATGTCTGTCCCCCATTTTAAAGCTTTGGTATGAATAAGAATACTGAAAATTGCAAGATTATAAATGTGAAGTCATAGGATTGCCTTCCGACGTGCAGATACACTGTGAACCTAATTTCCCCCAAGTGTGTGCTTTGTCTTCAGGCGTAAATTGAATGTATATAGAAGACAGACTAATCACTCAGCAGGAAATCGGTGTATTCCTGTGGTGCTCAATTATACTTGGCCTCTGGCATTCTTTCTGGGCACTAAGTTAGTTTATGTGTCATCTGTGAAATCTGTTATTTCCCACTGGAGAAAACTGCCGTAGTGATAAGTCAGGAAAGGAGTAAGGATGCCCACTCAGCACCATTGACACATCAGTCATCTCTCCCCCAGATGAGTGCTTTGCTCATCTGCTGCAGACTTTCCATAAAAGCACTAGGCACATGGCATGCTGGCACCTCACAGAGTCAATCTTCTACTGCTGACCACTCAGAGAGGATTTTATACAACTCAGTTTTGTTTTTAGTTCTTTATGTATTAAGACACAGAAAATTATCTCCCTGGGGACAGCTGAACTACTTGACCAGAACCGTTTAACAGTACTTCATTAGAGTTTTCAGCTTCTTTACTTAGCTAGCAGGGGAGAGTTGCATCACACCCATTGATTCAGTGATATTTCCTGATGTGCCTCCATGCAGTATGTCCTTCACATGTGAAATAACGTGTAGGAGTAAAAGTGACCTTATTTTAATATGTCTGCTGAAAGCACTACCCATTATAAGATAGAATTTTTATGATATGTTGAAAGCAATTGCTTTTAGGCCTACATCACAGAGCAATGTGTGTTTTGTTTTGTCAGTGGTGTCATGCAGAAATCTGCAGTTGCTTTTCCAGGATCAATTAACTGCCCCCTCATGAGTCGCTAGAAATTATCTATTTGCATTGGGTTTTTAAGGCAAAGAATTCAAGTTAGCTCTCTAATGTTAAGCAGTAAATTACTGACAAGGTCCATGCATTCTGACTTCAGGTCTCCAGTTCATCATGGATGAAGGTATATCAGTCTTCCTTCTTACATTAAGGGATATTTCAGCTCAGTTGTTCTTGGTTGGCCATATGCCTTTGTGAGTTTGGTTTTGTTTTATGATGATAGATGCTACATACATGCCTGCTTTTCCCCCCAGGTGCACTTTGTTCCGGATGCTGGAACTGTGGCTCAGATTGTATACACTGATGACCAAGTTCGTCCACCCCAGCAGGTGGTGTACACAGCAGATGGTGCCTCCTACACATCAGTGGATGGTCCAGAGCACACACTGGTGTACATCCACCCGGTGGAAGCTGCACAGGCATGTGAAGGATTGTTTTTGACTTGTTTCTGAATTAATACACTAATTACTTATGATTGCTATGGTTCAGTTGTTATCCTAGATGTTTTGATTCAGTAAATGTTCAGATAAGATTTGTGCGATCAAGGAGCATATAACTAACTTAGCAATGAACACAGTGGTATGTTTATTTAAATTGAGTGCCAAATGAGATAGAGCCCCAGTCTTATGTCAGGCTTTCCCTGCAGTGCAGTGAGGCGATTATCAATGTGTTACCTTTCCTGAGTACCCAGACTAAGCATTCTGTTCTGTGTACTGCACAGTGTTTGGCTAAATCAAGTTGGCTCAATGAAAGCATACAGATGCTTTCAGTTAAATGTGTAAGCAAAGGATTCTATCAGCTTATACTATTGTTTGCCAGTAACTTACTGATATATAGAACTGTAGCAGAAACCAAGATGTATTCTCACAAAAGCTTTACAATATAGCTTTTGTTTTTGTTATTGACTTGGAGTTTCTAAAAGAGTGACACAGATATTCCACAAATATTGTTGACATTTAACAATGTACAAAGTATTTATGTGTTACATACATACATATGTATTACTTACAGCACATATGCACAACCCTCACTCCCATACTCACACATACTAATGAAGGCTGAGGATATAGAAAGTTTGCAATATAATGTACTACTATTATTTCTTTATTTTGTGTTTTACCCAGACCTTTATCATACTAAGTGCATGCTCTACCAGTGGTCTGTAGTGTCAGCCACTAAATGGTATTATTTATTTATTTATTTTTGAGTCAGGGTTTTTCTACATAGCCTTGGCTGTCCTGGAACTCACTCTTATGTTGTTCATGCTGGCCTCGAACTCACAGAGGTCCACTTAGCTCCACAGAAAGACACTTGCCCCTGCCTCCTAAGTTCTGGGATTAAAAGCACCTGCCACTCTGCCTGGCTTCATTTTTTTTTAAAAAATATTTATTTACTTATTATGTATACAATATTCTGTCTGCAGACCAGAAGAGGGCACCAGACCTCATTACAGATGGTTGTGAGCCACCATGTGGTTGCCGGGAATTGAACTCAGGACCTTTGGAAGAGCAGACAATGCTCTTAACCACTGAGCCATCTCTCCAGCCCCCTGGCTTCATTTTTTAATGCATATTTTCATAGTAGGATACTTGTTATAAAATTGTCCTTGTGTAATATTTCGTCAAGAGGCTCATATCACTTCTAAGAAAAAATAAGATTCCCTTCGTGAATACATTTTTAGTCTATATAGAAATGAACTTGCCAGATGCTCACATGGTCTTTTTGGAGTGCTTAGGCTTAATGTTATTTCTCTGACTTTCTTAAAATGCAACCAAGCCGGGGCTGGAGAGATGGCTCAGTGGTTAAGAGCTCTGCTTGCCCTTCCAAAGGTCCTGAGTTCAATTCCCAGCAACACATGGTAGCTCACAACCATCTGTAATGAGATTTGGTGTCCTTTTCTGTCCTGCAGGCATGCTTGCAGGCAGAATGCTATATACATAATGAATAAATAAATAAATCGTTAAAAGAAAAAAGTACAATTAAGCCTGGCGGTGGTGGTGCACACCTTGGGAGGCAGAGGCAGGCAGATCTCTTGTCAGTTTGAGGTCATCTGGTTTGCAGAGCGAGCTCTAGGACAGATAGGGCTGTTATACCTAAAATAAAAACTGGCTACGCAGAGAAACCCTGTCTCAGAAAACAAAACAAAAATAACAACCATCACCAACAACAAAATAAAGTACAACCAAAGAGTGTATGTAAAAGATGGTCTATACTTAACTGCTAGTTTATTGTAATGATATTAAATGTTTGAATTTTGATAATATTTTAAATGTCAAAGTGAAGAAATTTCAACTTCCTACAGCTTTTCTTCATGTTCCTCTGGAATTCAGATTTAACCAGTTTTTTCTTTTCCTTCCTTCCTTCCTTCCTTCTTTTTTGTATTTTTCTATACAGGGTTTCTCTGTGTGGCCCATTCTATATTTTAGTCCCATAGGTTTACCAAAGTCTTGGACAAATTAAAGTCTTTCAAAAGATTTAGCAGCGAGACTATTTTTCTGGATTGCAGATACTAACCATATCTTAGCTGTAACAGTATGGACATTTTCCCTATCTAATTGTTATGTGTTTATAATGATTAAGTTTCTTTATTATCATTGTTATACCTGCTGGCTTTATCAAAAAAAAAAAAAAGAGGAAGAAACTATGGCCAGATAGTGGTGGCACATACCTTCAATCTCAGCACTTGGGAGGCAGAGACAGGTAGATCTCTGTGAGTTTGAGGTCAGCCTGGTGTACAGACTGAGTTCTAGGACAACCAGAGCTACACAGAGAACCCCTGTTTGGAAAAACTAAAAAAAAAAAAATAATAAAAATAAAAAAAGGAAAGAATCTAACCTGAAGAACCTGTGGGCTATATATTCAATTTATGTTCTTTGTACTTTTCTGATGACAAACAAGTGTTCATATTGTAAAGACTGATAAACCTGTGTTCCTGATATGCCTCTGTGTAATTCCCAACTCTCAATCCATTTTTACTGACTCACAAATCTCCTCTGTGAGTAGGGTTCACTGTGAATGGTGTACTTTCTTCATGACGTGTCTTTTATGTTTTCATGTCATGCCTTTTTATTAGCTGTGACATTCAGCCTCAAGAGAGGCTTTGCTTGAGAGTAGAATATTGAAGTATGTTAGCCTTTTGGGATGGCTGTTTATTCAATCTCTGGAGCCTTTTGAAGTAAAGACTCCAGGCAAGTGCAAGAACACTGTCTTTATCTCCTGCATTAATAAAAGATTACGAACTGTGACTCCAGATAACTCTCCTAAGAGTTGGTACTGAGAAGAATAATTTTCCTGTGTAGGTGAACAGTCTAAAGATCTACTGATAGATTTTTTTGTTTTTCTTTAGACTCTGTTTACAGACCCAGCTCAGGTAGCTTACGTCCAGCAAGATGCCACAGCTCAACAGGTAAAAAACAAAACCCTTTGTGCCATTTAGGAGTAATATAGTGGCTGTCATGTTCCTGCAGTGTCCTTCTACCTTTATGTCATCTCTGAGTCTTTGTTTAATGTACACTATCTAACTTCTTTAATGGAAACAAAGCAAAACAGAATATAATACTATAACACAGTGCTGTCAGTATATTGGAATAGCTTGCCAATAAGAAGTGTTTGGTTAAGGAAGTTTTTTTTGTTTTTTTTTTAAATATTCATTTATTTATTTATTATGTATGCAATGTTCTGTCTGTGTGTGTGCCTGAAGGCCAGAAGAGGGCACCAGACCTCATTACAGATGGTTGTGAACCACCATGTGGTTGTTGGGAATTGAACTCAGGACCTTTGGAAGAGCAGGCAATGCTCTTATGCACTGAGCCATCTCTCCAGCCCTTGGTTAAGGCAGTTTTAAGCAGTAAGCCTATACTACAGGGAAGATGAGACAGGACAATTGGCTGAGTCCTCCTGGTTGAGACCAGCCTGGGCAAAATAGTGAGTCTTTGTATCAGACAAACAAACAGGATATTTGTTCAATTTTCCAATAAAAGAATGACGTAAGTTTTTTTTTTTTCTCACAGAGATCCACCTGCCTCTGCCTCCTGATTGCTGGAATAAAGGTGTGCCCCACCGCCGCCCAGCAAGAATGACATAAGTTTAAAAAGTGTCTTTTGGTGGTGGTGGGGATCTGGTATCACTATAATACCAGCACTTGGGAGGCAGAGGCCAGGGAGTCGCAGGCTGGAAAGTCTCAGGTTCTAAGCTAGATTGAGCTACATAGCTAGGCTCTGAGTCAGGAGTGACGTGGAAAGAGAGACAGAGACTGATGCAACATTATACCTTCTGAAAGCTGGCAAGTCTGTCACCATGGACGCTCTTGGAGTTACTTGGAAGAGAAATTTCTTTTCCAGACAACAAACACAGTGCCATTTTCATCCCCTGATGAAGTATGGTTCTAGAAGGTTGCTGTCACAGTAGCCTGAAAAAGACTGTGATGGGGAGTGTTTTGATGAACAAACCAGATGGTAGCAAGTGGCTTTCCTATGACGAAAGAGAGATGAGTGTTTAGTATATGCTTCCTAGTGCTGTATACTTTCTATTGTGTCATATTGTGTGAAGTATTCATCCCAGAAAATCAAACCTAAATATGACCAAGTCTGGAGAGTGTTCTGCAGCTGACAGGATACATGGTAGACACACTGAACAAGTCAAAAGGCCTGCAAGACTTATTGGTAAAATCTAGCCCATGGACTCCAGGAGAAATGGTCTGGGGTCTTTTTATTTTCATTTTTTATTTTTTGTTTTTGTTTTTGAAATGGTCTCATGTATTCTAAGCTGCTAGGCTTGAACTTACTATGGAACCCAAGATGATTTTGAACTTCTGATCTTCTCACCTGCACTTCTTGTGTGCTGCTGGGATTGCAGGCATGCACCATCACACTCAGTATGTTTGTCCTGGGGATCAAACCCAGGGCTTCTGTGCATGCTGTGCACACATGTGTTAGCGGAACCACATCCCAGCCAGATAACCTGTTTGAGTTTCGTTGCTGTTTTGTTTTGTTTTAGTTTGTATAAGCATTCTCCCACTATAACCCCTGACTTTTCCCACAAATAAATTTCATGGGAAAAGAAGAGGAGGGGAACTAACAGTCTTGGATGTCTCAGTAAGTAAATGCTGTACATGTTTTTCATTTGGATCCTGATTTGATAAAATTAAGTGTAAAAAGAGAGGCAGACAATTGGAAAAATAGTAGTACTAATGGATTTTTAATTATACTAAAGAATATTTAAGTGTTTAGAAATGATAGTATTTAAACTATAAAGGTTATTATATGTAAATGCATATACACACACTGAACTATTTAAAGATAACAGTCTACATATAATATGTAGGTTTTGCTTCACAATAATTGTGAGAAGTAAAGAGTGTGGGAGATTGGTTGTTGTTTTGAGTCTAAATGGCACGTATATGAAGTTTGTTGCATTGGTCTGTTTAATGCATTTGAGATTTGTCCTTATAAACAAGAAAACAGTGTGTTTGTTTGAGACAGTGTCTTAGTCATGTGGCCTAAGCTGGCCTTAAATATGTTATTTTTCCTGCCTCAGCCTCTCATGGTCTAGGATTACAGATGTGAGACACCATGCCTTGTTTAAGAAAACTATTGTGACAGTTCTGTGTAAATTGCTTCTGTTGTACTGAGGAAATTTATATTCCTGCCAACTACATGAAAATGCCCATTTTCAACACTCTACTACTGTCATATTTACATTCTTTTCAGATTTTGCCAATCTGATACGGCAAATGATATTTTGTTATTTTACTATTGAGACATGTTTTAATTGGTGGGTTTGTTTCCATTTACACCTCAAAGGGCCCTTCATCTTCCTCAATCTCCAGAAACAATCTGATCCTTTGATGTTTTGTATGAAAGGAAAGTTGTGCTTAGATAGCTCTGTGAACCCTGGTATTATAAGTTAGTGTGACTGTAGTTGTTGACTTAGAGCCTTGCTTGAGTTTGTTCTTCATCCTCTTCTTCATTCTGGGATCAAGTTTAGGGCCTTGAACCTGTGGAACACACACAATCTACTACTGAGCTACATCACCATCTCTGTCTGTCTCTGTCTTTCTTTCCTTCCTTCCTTCCTTCCTTCCTTCCTTCCTTCCTTCCTTCCTTCCTTCCTTCCTTCCTTCCT